CATAATTAGCATCATATTATGTAGTTTAAATCTCAGAATTCTGTGTTAAAAATAAGCATTCAGTTGATGGGGTAGTTTCTTTACAATTCAATAGAGGAAAGTGTTTGTTTTTTTTGTTAAAGAGTCAAAAATTCAATCTGAAACCATTAGTCTAGTTGATTCCTTTCCCATACATTTGCATCAATGTCAAGGGCCCACAAGATTGTAGTTTGGAAATTGAGAGGAAGTTTCTTCCCCGCCCCTTTTCCCAAAGTGACGCAAAAAGTCACCAGAAATTTGTAATGAGTGATTGAAAATCCATGAGAAAATCAAAGTCCACTGTAACAAAAAGGAACACGAAAGAAATTCTATGCTGAACTGACATGTAGGCTTTTAGCCCTGCATTGTGTTTTTCTGCTGTTGCAGTTGACTTGGTCAACTTGAAAAGAGATTTACATATACTGGTGACAATTTTTTAGGTTTTTTCAGACAGATACAAATATCTGTTTTGATACAAATATCATTTGGCATCAAGGCCAAACATGCAGCATAATTTGCACAGCTGAGCACCACCAGCAAGAAGAATAGTATCTTTTTTAATTAAAAAAAAAGGAAAAAGGAAAGCAACATGAATTGTCAAACAAACAAAAAGGTTGAGCACAGCTGGAATGGAAAGTGGGAATGTCAAGATTAGTACATGGAATCCTATTAATAGTCATGCAAATAAATTAATTTAAAATCAATTCTTTGGATTTGACTACAATAAGATTTAATCATTAGAAAAAACAAAGAAGATTGCTGTATTCTGCAGTGTCTGGCAATTGGGATATTTTAAATTGGACAAGAAGTAACCATTTACATTGCTTTGCTACTGGCTTTCTTCACATGGCTTATTCATGTAGTGAGGTGAGAATCACAATTCAGCAGATCAGAAGTAAACATTTACATTGCTTTGCTCCTCGCTTTCTTCACATAGCTTTCTTAGTATTAAGTTTTTGCAGCAAAGGTTTGCAACACTTCTTGGATGATATTGTCAACTTAACGTCGAAAATAATGAATTTTCTTGAGTAAAAACAAGATAACAAAAACTTTTCCAAGTTTATCACTCTGTTTGCTATTTCTTTCTTGAAGAATCCTGGCCATCTCCGATTCTGAGATGTTGCTTTTCTTTACTTAGCAGTTAGCAACACTGTTTCTTTGGTCCCCAAATCTCAGTGATTGGACCATCTGTTCCCACTTAATTAAATATTGTGCTCTATTTTCCATCAATAGTAATAAAATGTAATCTTACAATAGCTTACAGTAATAAAATAAATAGATTTGTTCTATGAATCTCATCTATTTCTAACCATTACAAAAATATAAGCTGCATTGACATGCAGGATTGAGATGGTCCTTGACATTGCTGGCTCTTAAACACCTTGCTTTTGATGCTGATATGAAATTTCCTCCCAATAGTGTATCATTTCAGGTCTATATTCTTGCAAGCTTGAGAGTCTTATAAGGCATGTTTGGAGTATCTGTTTGTTTTGTTTTGCTAAAGGTGTCTGAGAAGGGCTTTTGGGTTGTAAGTTCTTTGGCTCTTAACCCTGCATTGTGTTTCTCTGCTTTTGTCAGACAGATTGGTTTCCTTTTCAGTTTGGGATCATTTAGCATCAAAGCCAAAGAAGCAAGCAGCATAACAGAGGGACAAAAAGCAGCAATAAAACTTCAATCACTCATTGAGCACCACCAGCAAGAAAAGAATAGTATCAAGAAATGGATTTTAATTTAAATTAAAATAAGGAAAAGCAAGTTATTGAAATATTATACGTGCATGGAATCCTATTAATGAATTAATGCAGATTTTGATGCTACACAATCACAAATAAATAAATAAATAAATAAATAATTTGCTATATTATTCTGCAGTGTCTGGCTATTGGGATATTTTAAATTGGACAATCCTGGCTTTCTTCATATAGCTTATATATATATAAGGCCAGTAAAAATCAAAACTCAGCAGATGATTTTCTGATCTAACAAAAAGGACATTGACTTTCCAAAGTTAATGGATCACTCTCTTTTTCTTTTGTAACCATCAT